TGCCTTAATTGACACTGGTGCAGACGTAAATTGCATCCAGGAAGGCATTATCCCAACTAAGTACTATCAAAAAACTATTGAGAGACTTAGTTCAGCAAATGACAGTAAAATGAATGTTAAATACAAACTACCAAGTGTGCATATCTGTCAAGATAATGTATGTTTTAAACACCATTTATCTTAGTAAAATATATGACTGATGAAGTTATCCTTGACTTACCCTTTATATACTTATTGTATCCATTCACAACAGATACAAATGGTGTAACCACGAAACCACTTGGTCAGACATTAACATTTAATTTTACCACCAAACCAGAAGTTAAGAAATTAAGACAACTTAAAGATCATTCAATCTCTAAGTATCTTAATATTATTAACCAAAAAACTAAGCAAGTGAAATTTCTCAAAGAAGAAATAAATCACAGAAGAATACAAGAACAATTAACAAATCCAACCTTAATTGGAAAGATTAACCAGTTCAAAATAAAATTGGAAGAAGAATTATGTTCTAATCTTCCTACAACCTTCTGGCATAGGAAAAGACATATGGTAAAACTTTCATATATAAAAGGATTTAGTAATACAAATATTCCTACTAAATCTAGATCCATCCAAATGAACTATGAAGTAATGGAAATCTGCGAAAAAGAGATTTTTGAATTACTCAAAAATGGTATCATTCAGAAAAGCAAGTTTCCTTGGTCATGCTCAGCTTTTATGTCATAAAAAATGCAGAATTAGAAAGAGGCGTACCAAGACTAGTAATTAATTATAAACCTTTAAATTCTGTTTTGGAATGGATCAGGTACCCAATTCCAAACAAACAGGATTTAATCAAAAAACTTAATAATTCAATAATCTTTTCCAAATTTAATTTGAAAAGTGGTTACTGGCAAATCCAAATCTATCCAGAAGATAGATATAAGACTGCATTTACAACTCCTTTTGGCCATTACGAACGGAATGTAATACCTTTTGGATTGAAAAATACACTTAGTGAATTTCAAAATATAATGAATGAAATTTTTAATTCTATTAGTCATTTTTCTATAGTCTATATAGATGATATTCTCATCTTCTCCAGATCTATATAAGAACATTAGAAGCACCTATATGCATTCCTTGAGATAGTCAGACACAATGGTCTAGTCATCTCGGTCAGTAAAATTAAGTTATTTCAAACCTTAGTAAGGTTCCTTGGATACAACATCCAGCAGTCCACTATTATTCCCTTCAGTCGTTCAATCCAATTTGCAGATAGGTTCCCTGATGAGATCACAGATAAAACCCAACTTCAGAGGTTCTTAGGTTCCCTAAACTATGTTTCTGACTTCTATTAGGATCTTAGGAAAACTATCAAATCTCTGTATGACAGACTCAAAGAAAATCCTCCTTCTTGGACATCTATTCATACATCTATAGTTCAGCAAGTCAAGCAGTTCATTAAAACTTTGCCTTGCCTTGGTATTCCTTCGGTTGATTCCTTTAAAATCATCCAAATTGATGCCTCCGACATTGGCTACGGTGGTATCCTACTTCAAAAACTTACTCTAGATTCTCCAGAATAAATTGTTCGTTTCCATTCTAGTATCTGGAATAAGGCACAAGTAAATTATAGTACCATTAAAAAAGAAATCTTAGCTAATGTCCTGTGTATCTCTAAATTTCAGGATGATATACTAAATCAAAAATTCTTAATAATAATAGACTGCAAATCAACAAAATATGTTCTCAAAAAAGACGTACAAAACATTGCTAGTAAGCAGATTTTTGCCAGATGACAATCTATTTTAAGTATTTTTGATTTTGATATAGAATATATTAAGGGCAGTAATAACGGTATCCCCGATTTCCTAACCTGTGAATTTCTGCAGGAATCTCATGGCCAAAAGGAAAGATAATAGCCCTGGATCCTCTTCCAAAGCCGGGAGGGATACAGGAAAGAAAAAATTAAGCCAGATATTTGCCTAAGAAAAGGCAAATCTGGATAAGGATAAACAGTTAGACTTGCCAAGCCCACTAGTCTTGCGAAGCCCAACCCTTTTATCCTCTGCCATTTATATTGCCAATAGATTTCAACCCCTTGGTAATCCTAACCCACCAAGGCCAGTAGCCAAATCCACTATAGTGCCCCCTAGCACTTTCCTCCAAATGGCCCAGTAGGCCCTTAGACCTGTTGCGCCAACCCAACTTGGCACCTCTAGCCAAATATTAAATCCATATTCTTACCATAAAACCCAGTTTGTCCCCAAAGGCCCAAACTTCGACTACATCAAGGCTTATACCCAAAATGTATTTGTCATTGAATCAGTCCATGCTCATCTAAGCAATCCAATGGACTTAGTCACTACCTACCTTGAGCCAGGATGGACATTCATCCCAACTGATACTGAAAAGACCTTCCAATTCTATCAGGATATATTGTTCTACACTCAATCCGTATTTGTCAAACCCATATTTGATAAAAAAGATTCGAGTAAAATTATTTACCATTCCTTACATATTTTAAAAATTATTTCTCTCAAAGACTGGGGATCTCATCCTTCTTCACTCCAAGATTTACCCTACCATAAAAGAATGTTTAATTACTATGATTACAAAGAATCATGGTTTAAACTTATACTCTACCAGAATGATTCTTCTGATCATTCATGGTTCCTACAATTCCACAAAGATTTCAAAAGCCAGATTCTGTCCTAGTTTACACAGTGGTGGTTTGTTCATGACCCCATTCATGAAATCTTTTTAGCTGATCTTCAAGATCAGATTATAGCCTTCTCCTCTGTTTATAAACCTAGTAAACATGAGAGTCAGTTTTCTATTTTACTAACTTTTTTTTGCAGGTACAAAGTCCCATGAATATGCAACTGAAAATGGAAAATTATTGGATTCAATGTCGCCATACATTTTATGTCAAATGGTGCCCAAATTCCAACAATAACCAATAGTCAGACTTGTCCAACAAGAGTTCCTAGTCAAGGTTCCAACCCCAGCAATGGTACCAGTAACCATTACAGCGATAGCTCTAGTTAAACAAGTTATGCCTCCTCTCAGGGTTTCTACTCCAGAAGAAAAGAAATCTGTTAAGGAAAAACCAAAGTAGAAGAAGTCCTCTTCTAAGGACTTCAGTAAACAGTCCAAGAAGCAGTCTGCAGATCTAATCAAGCTTGCACAACAGCTTCTTGAAAAAGCAGCCAGTGGAGACAGCTCATCAGCATCCTCACAGGCATTAGTTAGTCCAGCATTGGATCCCTTCCAAGACAGTCAGGATCCTTATGCCAGTTATAATGATTTGGTGGATATTTTTACCCCATAATGATACTTATCCATATATGTGATAGATTCACTCACTACTCTCTCCAATAAGAGAAAGAAAAGTTGTCTGTTGCATATATTGATAAAAAATCGTTTTGGTTCAACGACCCTTTCATTAAAAGTAGCCGTCAATCAATTTTAATATTTGCTTTCCACCGAAAGTAGATCCCTCCAGACAGCATTAGGACCCATATGCCACAAAAGTCAGCAGTCGTGCCACCAAAGTCTACATTCACCAGGGTAAAAGCAATTCACTTTCACTTTTCCACCGAAAGTCTAAAATGAAAAATTTTACCTAAAGATAAAGCAGGAAAATAAGACAACGGAGCAATCATTCCAAAGATTCCTCCGGAGCTCCTTACCCCTATATAAGGACTTCAATCTTCTCATTCAGGACAAGAGTTTTTTCCATAAGAAAAACCTTCGTCATAGAGTTGTAACCCGAAAAGCACCCATAAGCCTTCCTTATACACAATTCACTATCATATGTACTGTAAGAAGCCTTCATAATGATGCAAATGAAGAGTTTCTCTCCTATCCCCTTTCATTATTAGCCCACTAAATGCTAGTATTGTAAGTATTTTATTTTTGTAATTTGTATTTATATCTTGTTCATTTAAACAAGAATTTTTTATAATTAAAAGAAATTATTTTGTCATCTTTATTTACATCTTGTGATTTTCTATAAACTCACATGAATTCCGCACTTGTCTGTATTTTGGTATCAATATATATATATATACACACACACACACACAAATATTAACAAATACACATGAATCAAGGTGCATTAAATATGTATTTATATATATTAATAAACACACATGAATAAAGGTACATTAAAAATAAAAGATTTTAAATTAAATGACCCTAAAATGGACATTTATATCTTTGTAATTTACCTGTGTATTTTTTTTCAAAATATTTTATTCTATATATTTTTTATCAAATAAGTTTAATTAGGTGTACCAACTTTCAAAAAATCCATCCAAAAATGACAGAGTTCAGACCATACCTCATGACTAAGCGGGGGCATGTATACTTAGAGCACCTTTTCTCTTCACTTCAACATGGGGCAATGCCCAGAATCGCCAACAGACGCTACCCATGGGCCGAACCAGACCATGTCATGTCCTGTAAAACTTTTGGTCCAGACCGGGATACAAGTTAAGGACCCATGTCGGGGATATGATGAATCGGGTTGCCAAATAAGCCATGGCGTGGGTGTGGGACAGGCCAACCATCGGGCTTTTTAAAAAGATAACTACAGGTGACTCAAATGTAGTTCTTACTTACAATAACGTATTGCTACTATATTGCTGCGTTTAGTACGCATGAATACTTTTCACTAGGAACTTAGAAATAGAATGAAATGCGCATTATTATTTCAATATTTGGCAACTGTCTAAGATTAAGTGTCGGACTAAAATGTTCATTTCATTCTTATGTTTGGATAAAATAATTTTTTTATTGGAATGGAAACAACTTTAACCAAAATATCTATAGTAACTAAAAATAATTAATAACAATTTTTTTAATGATTGCGATTGCCTTTAAAAGTTATGTGTAAACAAATTTATAATTAGAAAAAATGAGAATTCATTGAAAAAAATTAAAACCCCTATAAATTTTAAAAAATTAGAAAACAAATTCCTTCAAATATATATATATATATTTTTTAAAACAAAAGGAATTTTTTTTTATTCACAAAATAACATTTACAAGAAGCAAAGATAAGGCCATAAACCTTATCATAACAAAACCAAATCAAATACAATAACCAAAAAATATAAAACCAACAAGGCATCTTCAAACAAAATTCCAGAGGCAGCCAAAACCATAAAGTCTCTTCAGCAATCTCAGCATCCATGTCCATCCAATACTTCACAATTCCAGAAATAACAACTGCTGGGACTTATCCAATTTCAAACAAATCAACACTATAATATCAGCCAAAATGACCAATAAAACCCCTTCAATATCATCAAAATCAAATCATTTACATAACTTCAAAGGTTCCAATAAAACTTCTTCCTTATCGTTTTCTTATTTGATTAAACAAGAGTGGTCACAAACTTGTGAGTTAACATGTGGGTTAACTGCATCAAATTCAAATACTATGACCCACAAATGATGTTAGTAACACTTAATTGACAAATTACAATTTACTTTCCGAAAAATAAATTGCCAACATACAGTCCTCATAAAAGGTTGCTCAATCTCAATACATGAAATATACTTATTAGAAATTGCTAAATACATATTCCACCATTTTCTGGAATAATTTTATAGCCTAAAGGGGTCTATCATTATCAAAAAAAAAAAACTCATCAATCATAGAAATCTAACAAACCATGCTTCTGTCAGAAATTTTCTCAAACACCTTCAAAGCAAGACCAAAATCACCACAACCCAATTACAGTGGTCCTTTTTAATCTGCTGGAACGAACTAGAAAAATGAGGTTGTGATAAAAGCAAGATGTTTACCGGAAGGCATCGTGTCTATTGGAAAGCTTCGATTCCTGCCACGGGGATGCAAACGTATTATGTTGCCAGCGGTTTTGTTGGATGCGAAAAGACCAAAGCAACAAGACTCAAAATTTTCACGTCAACCAGCAATCTACCGTGCCTTGCTCCATATGCATGCTCAAATTTAGAAGGTGACACAACTGAAATCCGGAATCAGCATAAAAAACTTACCTTCAATGTAAAGCTTGGTTTTTTGCAAAAAATAGGCCGTAATGATGGTACACAAAATGTTGTTGGTGAAGAAATAAGTATTGTAAGACCCGTATTAAAAATTAAATAAGGATATTATTATATTAAGATTTCTCCTAGATGAATAAAATAATGATATAAATTTAGAATTATTATTAAAAAATTGATCATGAAGTTTGAGTTTTGGACAAATTAACTTTTGGATAAACTCTCTCCCCATATTCTTATCTTTATATAATAAGTAATCATTTCTTTTTTGAAATGTTAATATTGTAAAATCCGGATAAATATATGAAATCGTTTGTAGTAGAACTTGTATCAACCATATTTAATGAAAAAATTTATGTTGTATAAGTTTGGGTTGGTGTTGGAAGGGTTTGAAATAAATTTGAAATAAAAAATCAGGCGTTCTGGGCACTGGTACTGTGAACACCAGAAGCAAAAGTGTACCGGTATTGTCTGCTCTAGACCAATTTTTGTAGAATTGTCATAATTGTTGATCCAATCGTCCGATTGAGCTGAAATTTTGACACAATATAGCGGACATCCAGATCTACAATTTTCATGTTTTGAACTTTTTTAGATTCAAAGTGGATCATGGTCTAACATGAGAAAAACCGAGGTACTGCCACCAAATGGTGTGGGTACTAGTGCTTAAGTTGTCAAAGCTTTGGGACTAAGTATTCTTTCCTTAAAATATTATAAATGGATAATAATAAGGTATCAAGAATGGTATGTTGGACCTCGGATGGGTCAATCGATTTAAACATTTACTAAGAGTGGTTCGGGGGAATAAAATAGTAATTTTAGTGTTTTGGGTGTAAATTATTTTAGTATAAAGGTAAATCATAAAAGTAATTATTTTTAGGTTAAAATAACATTAAAAATGAATCCGGAATGTCTAAAAACCTTAGGGTATTCATAGATATCAAATTAGAGATATTTAATGACAAAACTGTAAAATTGGAGAAAAATCCAAAATTCAACTCATGAACAGTAAAATTCGGAATTGCTAGGTTTAAAACACCATTATCAACCCATTTTCTCCCATTCTTTCACTCTACTCCCACCCAAACCTCTTCTAACCCTAGGAGAAGATAAAAGAAAAGAGAAAATGGAGGAAGAAAGTTTCTAGAGCTTGGGCGTTAGCTTGTAACTTTGATTCAAAGGTAGGGGTTTCTTCTATTATCTTACATTGAGGCTAGGGCTTATATATATATATATTCTTTTGACTCTAAATCTTATACGTATGTTTTGAAATCTTTGATTTTTGATATTCTTGCAAATATTACCATGTTTTAAACAATATTTTGGGTTGGATAACTATTAAATCTCTTTTCTTGCCTTCAAACCTTAGTTCTCAAGAGAAATGATTTTTTCTCTTGATTTTCCCTTTTTTCTTGATTTCAAAAATTTAGTGTTTTGTATTGAACAATAAAATGGTATTTATGACAATCTCTTGCATATTTTCATAACTTGTTCTATTGGAAGGATATATGAGAAATTTGGGGATTTTGGATTTTGATTCGTTATTTGAGAAATTGGTTGGATATTGTATCTCTTGTGGATGTTTGGATGACCATGGGTGGCCATTGACTGGGTATCATAGAGTGGGTAGATGCGTTTTTTATTCCGTGCGGATTTGAATTTTTCCTACCACTCGTGGTAGGGTTGGTACCAAACCACTATTCGCTCACGGGTACCGGGGATGAGGGTTAGTATATTATTCCTGGGTTGGATTTGTCATTACCTTGAGTTGGCATACGCCTTTCCTAAAATTGTATATCCTTAAGAGGATTTGGGTGTGTCTGTGTGTGTGGGTCAGGATATTCTCGATGTATTTATTCATGCGAATCATGCATCATACATGAGATACAAATATACATTGTTGATTATTATTTATTGTGCAAACGGTGGATTAAGATCCATGGTGGTTATGAATTATGGTGAAAATGGTTGTTGTGGAATTGACTTATTGTTGAAAATTGGTTTATTTCCTTATTTAATTTATTGCTATTGTATAAACTTGAGATCGAATTGTCCCTGTTTTCTCTTAAAAGTTATGTTTATGATATTTGTAAAATGAGACAGACTGTTTTATATGTTTTCTAAACCTTGTTCGAGTTTGAAAATTTTTTTCTACAGAACTTTGTACTCACCCCCTACAATCAATATATTTTTCATATTATGTGCTCGAGGAGGAGCTTGGAGTTGAGGAACCGGGGCATTGAGAAGTTCCATTAGATGAGCACGTGGATCTTGAGGTGGATGCCTAGGGCTATGCTCTCCTATTTGCTAGACTAGGAAATTCCTTTTGAGACTCGGTGGAGTCTAATATTTTGTTATTCCACTACAAGTTAAATTTGATTCTTTTGGGATGTAATTTTCATAGCTTGACATATTCTTTTGGATATTATGGTCATAGTTTGACATATTCTTTTGGGAAGATGTTGTAGATATTGCATATGATAAATAAAATTTTCTTATTTGATGAATTTTATTGGTCGCTCTCATGATGTGAATGGTATTTAGATAGTAATGCCGTCCAAGGTGACTTTTGGGGTGTTGTAGGTATGTACTCTAGTTCAGGAAGTGGAGCCTATCTATTCAAGCCCGTTGGTGATACTAAGCCTATTACCCATGCTGGTGGGCAAATGGTAATTTCAGAGGGCCCTTTGATACAATAAGTTTACTCAATGCCTGGAGGGATTGATTGTCATGCTTCTCTCTGATGAAGGAAAAGTCACAGAGGTGAAGTGAGGAGAAAGGAGGAGAAAAGAGAAGATGTGAGAAGAAGTCTGGGGTTGAACGATGAGAGGAGCGAGAGACAGAGGAAGAGGACGATTGGGTTTCATCGACGTAATTTAGGCCGATTATCGACGGGAAAGGAATGACTAATGCCTTGGTTTATTTGGAATGATTAATCCCATTATTTATGGGATTAGTTATTCCTCAGGAATGCAAATGAAATTTTATTCCAATAGACCAAATAAAGGAATGGGTATTACTAAGGAATGATCATTCCATTCTTAAGGTCTAATACCATGTACCAAACACAACGTAGTGGTTAATTTTTAATATCAAAGTTTTTTAGTGGACTTAAATTCAAATAAGTATTGAAAGGAAGACTGATTAATAATTTATTTATTTTAAATATGTAAAGATTTGATTTAATTTCTTCATCTCTCTCCCCCTATTTTTTTCTCTCTCTCACTCCCTCTCCCCTTATTTCCTGATTCTCTCTCCTTATATCAACGTTACAACAATATAATTATACTAATCAGTTACACCAATTAGTTACAATTACCCTATAATACAACAAACATCTACTCATGTGTTTTAATAAACCAAACAGTTACACTAAGCAATTATATAAAATTACAACACCAACCTAATTTAACATTCAGTTATTTACATAAATCAAACAGTTATATAATTTAGTATCATGACATGATTACAACAATTATATACACCAAATTGAGTTCATCATTCCACAAAAGACTTTATAATTATACTAATTTTGGTATATATAATTGGTATAACGATGTCGCAATACTAAATGATGCAACTATTTAGTTTATGTAAACAATTGAATGACAAATTGAATTGGTGTTATAATTTTGTGTAATTGTTTGGTTTATTAGAACGCATGAGTAACTATTTGGTGCATTATAGGACAATTGTAACTGATTGGTATAACTGATCAGTGTAATTGTGTTATTGTAATGTTGATATTAATATATATATATATAGAGAGAGAGAGAATAAGGAGAGAGAGAAATGATTAGAGAAAACAGGGGAGAGAGATGAAAAAATAAATCAAATCTTTACATATTTGAAAAAAAATTAAATTATCAATGATAGATAGAGAGAGAAAATAGGGGAGAGATGGAAAAACTAATAGGAGAGAGAGAGAGATTGAGAGAAAATAGGGGAGGGATAGAGAGAGAGTCTAATGAAAATTTCACATATGTGATTAGATATATAACTATCAAGTAAGAATGCATAATTTAAGGGAGGGTATTTAGGTAAAAAAATTTGATTTCATTTGAATTTTGTACCTAAACACAGTATGTTTTATTAAAATTGAACTTAGTAAAATAAACAATTTATCCATAACTTTTCCTCAAATAAGTCTAAAAAATTGTACCCACAGCCAAAAAACCCTTTTTCAAAATTAAATGCTAGTCCATGGTTAAGCACGAGATTGAAAGAGCCCTAATAAACCAAGGATATATTAGTTACAAAATTACCAATTTTTCAGTAAATAATACATCGATGTTCATTTTTGATTCGTGGATGCAAGTACATTTTTGTATCAAACTATGTTATATTTTTATGTCATGTTTTTATTGTTTTTCCTATCTTGAATTCCTATCTCCCAACTTATGGTATCAATGTTAATTATCCGTTGTGCAAAACCAACAAAGTATAATCCAAATTAGAATACAACAACATATGCTTCAATATTAGTGCCAAAAATTATATTTATATTATATTTTAGGTATGCAATATTGCAATAGCCAAATATCTAAACTCCCAGGAGCAAATTACAACAATATTTAGCTCTAACAGTACAAACATATTTTTAATTAGACTAGATTTGACTAAACAAAACATTTCGAACTTTTTTTTCATAACAACCACCAGAGCTAGCATCACATCAACTCTAGTTCAGTCGAGTGCAAGCGGTTCAATCAACAAAGACACGATTTGGTCTCGAGTCTCACAGTCTTGAACACCATACCCATCTCCATTGTGGTATATGAAATGCGAGACTCGTGCAATGTTTGTTATATATTTGGCAAATGGTACAAGAGATGGAGATTTCGGGATGCTTTGGTCGTTAATGTTTTTCCATGTCTTCGTTATTATGCTTCTAATGTGCTCCTGTGCAACCTCCTCAGAAACATTTGTTTCTCACATGTAACATAAGATTGAGGAAGCAACATCACCTCTCTCTAGTTCTACCTGTTAAAATTTATATGTTCAATCGTTATTTCAATTTCCCAAGCATAACCAAAAAAATTTATAATAAAGAGTTAAGACAAGGGTAATTACCACTGAAGTTCCCTGGTCATTGGTAAGTCGAATTATCATTGAAATGTGATACACAAGATCTTCACCATTCTTCAAAAAATCCAAAACGTCCTCTGTTATTTCATGTGCAACCCCAAAAAGAACATGAACAGAAAGTGCAGAGTCACCGGATGATATCCACCCGTTATTGAGATACTCTTGGAGTGATGGTGTATAGCCCTGGTTGTACCACTTTGCTTCAACCAATAATGCTGTACAAAAATCTTTCCACTGAAAAAAAGCATTGGTTTTAATAAGAACTTCAATTCAATGACAATCAGGTCTAGACGAATAATAATTTTACATCGTGAGACAATAGTTACCACTTTTCGTAAATGAGGTAACACTGATTTCCCACCCTTAACTTTTTGAATTTCAAAAGTTATTTCATTGGTGGTATCATATAGAGCCTGGAAGCAAATCTTCATGCACTCAGGTAGTTGTTGAATTTCCTTAGAATCCCACCTGAAATTGAGATGTTCGTTAGAATTATGAACATTTCTTGGTAGTATTTTATCTCTTCAACAAGTTTAGTATTGAGCATAAGGATCATAAAATGGAGGCCTTTTTATTTTTAGTATTATTTTTTAAAAAAATTAATTTTTTTTTAATTTTCTATGTGAGATTGAGACACAAGAAGGATGTGTTAATATTATCGAGAAAGAGAATTGAATTTTTGTTTTTATTTTTTTTACCACAAAAATGGAGAGAGAGTGTTTAATTTTAATTTTTGTTTTTTTTTATTTTTTTTACCGAAGAGAGAGAGAGAGAGAGAGTAAATATGAGTTGACTTTTGTTTATTTTTTTATTTTTTAAATTTCTAAGTTTTTAATGTTTTGGATTGGATTATAGACCCAAATTATTGCAATAAAATTTAATAAATTTAATTTTTTTGTGAACTAGTGATATACTGAAAATTATGGGACTTTTTTAAAATTTGGGGCCTAAAGCTCATATTTTTCTTTCCATACTGTTGAGCTGGCCTTGATTTTAATTGTTGTAAACTTCGCAAGACTTAACTATCAACTGCCTTTGTGAAGAGCTCTAATTCTTGTGGTGAGCCGTAAACATCGTAAACATCATCAATTGTTATTATGAACTTGTAGACTTTGGCTAGCCAAATTCTGACATGTTTGTACTGAGGCTCAAATTGACTCGCACAACAAATAAGTAACTTTTGATTATTCAGTCCTGTGAAAAGCTTAAATTTCCTACTATCCCAAGATTCCTCCACCACCTGCATGTCTCACAAAATGTTGCTCGGTTTGTTTTATGAATGAACAAATTTGAATGAAAAGTACTTGAGTCAAATCTGAACTATTCACGAAATAGTTCTTTTTCCAGTCCTATGCAGTTGTTTATCTTATGTTCACAACTTTAATAGTTATTACCTTATTATTTCCCTCAGATATTTTTGGTGTGTGGCTTGAACCATGTTGAAATGAAGCTTAGCCAGCTTGAGCAAACTGAAGTTGATGTTACCCACTTTTCCATATTCATGTATGTGTCTTGTGACATTATACCACTCCAATCTCCAGTGCAACAGAAGCTCCAACACAGTGCTCAATTGTTTGGTTGTCGAAACATCTGAGTTTGAAATTATAGTCTTATGATTTTTAGTAGAAAACATTATGGCCTTGTCCATTATTTTTTCACCATCTAAGGCAAGATGTGATGCTTCAAATAGCTTGAGCATTGCTGTGACATTTATGTTTGTGCTTTGCATAAAATTACACGTCTCATCCACGAATCTGATAAATATGTCTGAATTTCACATAGTATTTAAAATGTTAGGATAAAGAATTGAAAATAAAATCATTTTTTTTTGTTTATTATTGCTATAAATAACAATCATTCATTCATGAGTTGAGTTATTTATACCTTGTGAAACATTGTAGTGATATTGCCTAAGTAACCTAAAGCGTAGCACAGTAGCATAGAGATCCTCTTCTGTGGTGAGATTGCTATTCTTAAGACACATTATCATGTCTAGGGCTTCCTTGATTTCCACCTCAAAAAGGGTGGCCAGACCTAGTTTTCCAATGCTGTCTACAAGCTCCAACTTAGTTAGAAATTTGGATATTTAGAATACATTATAAACTAACTACTAGCAATGTGGTGGGGAGTTGTAGAATCTCACTGTGTATTCACTTGTAAGAGACTCTATGTAATCATATATCCATATATTTGGCTTGAAATTAGCTGAATGCCTTTGAATGCTTTCATCCTTTGAACAATTAATTTTACCCTTCATCTGGAATTGTAGCACTTGCTGATCACTTGGCATTCCATTTGTGCAAGTTAGCAAGGTTGGAGAGTATAGGGAGGAGAAATGGTAGCAAAGGTACATAATTGTAGAGATGAGAGTGATGAGAGATGAGTTAAGACCTACTTCATCCTCGTTTAGATAAGCAGTGGCAATCTTGTAACACATGAATATGATTACGTTGTGATGAGATACGTCAGCGCCCTAAGCTTAATTTAGAGATATTTAAATGTGAGATTTTTTTGAGCTATTAGGGGACCGCACTGAAGTGATATAACATAGAAGGAACCAAAAGTATTCAGTGTTTGATGGTGTAGCCATCTAGCATTGGCACATGATTCAGCAATTGTGGGTTGATCCCTCCCTTGGACTTAAGTTAGATAGATTTATTACCAAAAGATATTCTTTATGTTATGAAATCTTGGAAACACTCACAATCTTATCCAATGTTTCTTTCTTGTAAAGTAGGGAAGCATACAGTGTGGTCATCTCCAATTGTATCTCTTAAAGTACGTGTTGCATAACATACCATAACAAAACTATATCCAAGTTTATTAAATAATCCTCACTTTTGACGGAAGAATACTGTGATTACATAGCAGCACCTAAACCACAAAACCAAGAAGGAAAAAAAGAAATACAATCCGAATAAATAGAATTTCACTCTAGCGCCCCTAGACAATTCCAAGACAATCATAATTCACTTATTCAATTCTCAAGATAAGTTTTAGATAATTTTGGGTTTATAAGCAAATAAATCCTTTGAGATTTTAGCATGATAATAGATTCTCTTAATTAGCAAAATCCTTCACGTTTCATCTAAATCATCAACAATGACAGATTAATTAAGACTAGCTTCGTCATTCCTTTCAGAATGACATAATTGAAGTAACGTTTACTTTGTCCATTTCTATATAAGAAACACCAATAGTGTAGCATGTGAATATGTTTACACAAACCTTTGCAGATGCTAGCATCCCCACACTTGATTTAGACATAGACTAGCCGAGACCTAGGTGAAAGCCATGAGGAAACCACTTGAAATATATCTTTACCATCATAAGGTTAAAAGTTATTTATCCTAAAAGGTATCAACAGTGTGTTCGATATGTGTGGGTATCTAGGGTTGGCAAGTGACATTATCTCTTTTGTCGACCCTTCAATTTCCTTGTACAAAAAAATAAATTTGTACGCAAAAACATTTCAAAAGTTCTCTCAAAACCACACAGTCAAACCAAACATCAAACACGTAGCGCCACTCATTTTTATTCTTTCATATGAATAGGGGAAATGCACAATTTGACAATGTAACCAAAGAGATGTGAATCAGCATTCGTGCCACTGGTAGGCTGCGAATCAACATTCCTAAGGAGAAGAAAAAATCAGTTGGGCTAGGAGCAACAACCTTTACCAATGAGTTGGGCTTTATTGTTCGCCAATGTGCTCCTCTCCGGGTAAAAGAATGGAAGGATATAAATGAAGAGGATAAGGTTCCCCTTTATAACCACATCTTGGTAAGTGACAATCCAGTCAAGGTTTTGTTTATTTGATTTTATCCACAACAAACGTTTATTTTTGTAACTTTGATTTTTAGGCAAAATTCAACATAGACATGGCGTAGGAACATATAAAGTATTTTTGTGATCAACTAATGAAATGTCGATATAGGACTTATCGATATCATCTTCGCAATCATTTTAATAAATTTGACAATGTTGACCTTGCAAAAGAGCACCCATATGATGGACTACAAGAGGAGGATTGGAATTATCTGTGTAACATATTCTCTGATGTTGATTACTAGGTGAAATTACCACGTGCAATATTTTAATATAAAAAAGTTTATCTAACCCATTAACATGTCTATTGTTTCAACGTAGAAATGATGTGAAGTCAACAAGGCAAACCGAGCCAAGTTGCAAGTTACCCACTTCATGGGTACAAAGTCATTTGTGGCGGCTTGATATGAAATGGTATATAATATAGTATGATTTCAAGTTACTTAGTACAATATTATTGTTAACTTTATATTCGTTAATTCTAATTGTAAATCATACAACGAAATGAAGAGACTAATGAGGAGCCTGATCAAATTTCGTTTTACAAAGACACTCATTATAATCCAGTGAAAGGGTAGTCATACGATGAAGCTGAGTTAAAATATGTAAGATTGAGTAGCATATTATACTTCAATTTTTAGTTTTTATACAAAATTTTGAGTTGTTGCGTTATACTTTTAAAATTGCAAAATCAAATGTTGGAGTTGCAATCCCAACCTATACCAGAGGGTGGCACCATGTTAAATCCAGATTAGATATGCGACTTTGTACTTGGAACAAGGTCGGGGTGTATACGTGGTCTCGAGCATGGCCCAAAGCCCCACACATCTACCAAATCAAGTCAAAGAGCTACTTTGGATGCACAAGAGGCTATAAGGAGGGCTGACGAGACTGAGAGAGTTCAGCATGAGTTGCTTGAGCGAGTAGAGGTTCAAAATCAAAATATACAATCACAGAATCAGATGATAGAGTCCCAACAGACTCAAATTGAAGAAATGAGGATTCGACAGACCCAATTTGAAAATATGTTTCAGGCCTATATGTCTTCTGCAGTGCATCTGGCTAGTCCTCCTACGTCATGGTAATATATATATATATATATATATATATATATATATATTACGCCTTTACTTTCTTGCATATTGGAGAATTGTCATTATTATAAGGTGTGAATTTTGTGTGTTAAAACTTATATTACACAAAATGGTTCCTCAATTTATCTGTTGAGACTTTTATTGTGAACATTGAGTAAAAATTATTTGCTATGGGAAAAACATGGGATAACAAACAATGGTTCAATGATGTGGATATCATATACACTATCATGTGCACAACATAGTATATCTCAAAGACAAATCGACGTTATAATTTTTGGATCTAGTTATGTTTGCTTGAGTTGATCCGAATTAGCTTGGATTTGGATTTTTCACATTTTTATTTAAAATTTTGGAGCATCTGTTTGGGTGTTGTTTTGATTCTTTTTCTTTGCTTTTATGTTATCGATACAAAGGAACCTCGTTTATGAGGTGTGTTTTACAAAAGTTACACTTATCTTCAACTGTTTATGGATGTAGAAAATATACTAACATCATTTTATTTTGTTCTTATATGTAGATTAATGGCTAGTGGTGCGAGTTGTTTACAACGGACAAAACCACACTTGTGCCTCTTTTATTTCTTTGTTTTCCATACTTATGTCTTTTATTCAGTGGAAAAACACTTGTTTCATACACTTATTTTGTATTTGTTTGGATGATATTTTTAGTTGAGAAAAATTAATTTTAAGTTCTTAATTTAGTTTTGGGTTATTATATTAATTGTCATATATCGTTTGGATGTGAATGACTAGATAATACATTATTGGTTTTGTTACACGGCTCTTATCAGGTTATTTCAAGAGTCAATTGTTATGAAATATATATATATATATATATATATATATATATATGAAAGAGTTTGAGTGACGAAATGAGAATTTGTCTCTAATCTCAACTTCTACTTACAAACTTTTTTTCGTCATTGACAGCCATACAATTAACAACTCTATATTTTGCGACAATCTCAATTTGACACTAAAGACCCATAGTTGGTGATGAATTTAAAATTTGTCCCTAGAAGTAGACCTCTAAAGACGACAATATATTGTCACTATAACATAACTTACAGTGACAATATTTCTATCACTACATTGATACTTTCGGTGATGTTATTACTCTTTTAATGACATATCTTTGAGGTCTTTTGTGACTATTTTATTTGCCATTAAATGTATTTTTTTAGTGATGAGAGAGTACTGTCACTACAAAGTATAGAATTAATGACGGTTATTCTAGATTGTCACTATAGATAATTACCAACAAACTTCTAGTGAGTAGCAGAAGAGGCAACGATTAATCACTATTATAAATATCTGAAAGAAAGGGACAAGAAATAATACAATACAACTTTCAAAGAGAGGAACATAAGAGATTAACTCTCTAGACCTTATAAATTCCATGGTGGAAGTATCAAGGTACCTTCTTGCATGGCGTAAAACTGAATTTTCAAGTGTCAATAGCACCAATTTTCTCAAAGAGTGATATTATTTAAACTCAATTTGATAGTTTAAACCGTTGTTCCATTTAATCAGCAATAGATTTCAATATTGAATGAGATTTATTTGTCAATAGGATAACAACTGTAGATATTAAGTCAATAAATTAGGTTTACCAAAATGATAAAGAACAACAAAGAAAAACATACTAATTGGAAGAAAAAAAAGATTAGAGAAAAATACAAATACTTTGGTGTATGAATGCTTTATCCAAATCTAGTTTTAACAAATCTAGAAATGACGCACAAAATTTATACAAATCGACATAGAAGTAGTGA